CATTTCAGTAAAAATTCCCCGAACTACATTTTTAATGTTTTAATCCAGGTAAAGTGCTCATCACAAAAAACTGCAAGGTTCTTTATTTTACATGGTTATATTAACTACAAAGTGAATTTAATAAACGCTGATGATATCGATCGAATCCGCAGCCAGACGGTCGAAGTAGACAATCGGACAGATTTGGCTCAACTCCAAAAGCTAGCCTCAATGAATGCGGTGAATGCAACGCTTTTCAATTTTCATCCCAGAAGCAGGCACGTTTATGCTACTCATTATTTATATCATTGTTGGCTCATTTTTATTGTCATATAAATAATAAATCTTGGGGAAGATTTTTTTGTGTTATCAAACTCGTTTCTTACATAAAAATATTAATTTATATTAACTGACTTTTCTGAACAATCACATTTATTATTAACGTTTTTATTGTCATTAGAGTGGATCTTATATTTGACTTGATTTCAATAACTTAATTGTCTATGAACTGGTGACGGCTTACAAAAAGCGAGGACTATCAACGAGCTAATTGTCTATGCATCACTAAACGTACAACGGTAACATCTCTTTTGTTCTTAATTGCTTACTTTGTCTGCTTCAGCTGGGACAAAAATGAAATAGCCATTGTTAAACTGTTACGCTGGGAAGTTGCGGTTGCGTTAGTGGCCTTTTTAATTTGATATAGATATTACATTTATTACGAACAAAACAAAACACACACACAAAATAACAGTAATCAGTAAGTAAGTAATTATTGTTATCTTTCATTCTTTTTTATATAAAAAATATTTATTTATTTTTTCTTTTACAGAACAAGGTACGTTTTAATTATTATGTAATGTTTGTGTGTGCTGTGGTTGTAATTGGTCCTGGCTCAGCATTATGCTGAGGAGCAGACTGTTCCACAGAGCTGGTCATTATGCCAGAGACCACAGCAGCTAGTTTGCAAGTTTTAAAAGATACTACTATTTAATAAGGTAGCTAGTATATGTTATTTAATGTAAATGCGACAAATATGAATCTTATTAACAGGAAATTATCTTTGATTCGCTGCTTAACATGAAGCGTCGGCATAAACAAAGGTTGATCAATATAAAGCCATCGAGTTGAAGACTTGCACTTGTTGAATGTCAAGTGATTGTTGAGGCTATAGTGACAGGCCTGCCGTTTCTAATTATCCTGATAAAGCCATTGAAGATTATCTGTTTATTATTTGTCCTTAGTATTTGAAGTAAATGCTTTTAATAGGAACTGGATCAAAAAGACCCTTACTTGGAATGGCCCAAAGATAGGACGCCCACTAGAATCTTGGGAAGATGGAATAAAAGGGATAACGGGGCAGGAGAATTCTGGCAAGGAATAGAGACAAGTGAAGAGGCTTGAGAGGAAAAAGAGGAGGTCGATTTACTAATACTAATTTAAAACATAATGAAATGGACTTAATGTAATCTAAACTTTTACTCGTATAAAGGCTATTTTTGAAGTGAAACTTCTTTAGGTCCATGAGGGTAAAATTTTTTTTCGGATACGTCACGAAGATGTGCAGCGTTTTTGTCGAAGAAAAGGTAGAGAGCGATTGAGACCGATTAAGAGAAAAAATTAAAAATTATAAAATTCCTAACATATCTTCCTTTTTCCCTCCCTCTAAGTTTCGGAAATTTTTAGATTTGTATGAATATGATCAAAATTTAAAATTAGTTTGCCAAAGAAATTTCTTTGGCAAACTAATTCTGACATGACGTGTACTTTGTACGCACGCACTTTTTAATTTACTTAATAAAACCGAAGTCGAAGGAAAAATGATGGATGCTTTTAATTGCGGCTGGCAACCAAGAGCTATTCCAATTTTGTTTAATGAGATTTTGACATGATCGCACGGAATTCGGAAAGTAGTTGCTCGTCGCGTGCGCCGGCCGTCACATTAACATAATTGTTGAAAGCTGAAAATGCTGTCATAGTACACGCTGGACACTTGGATGCAATATATAAATGTCAATGAATATCTTCAAATGAAGATATTCGGGATATAATAATAATAATAATAATAGTCTTTATTTCTTCTCTCACATATACTACAAGGTTATTATGATGAAACTAAGATGACAACATTAGGAAGTGTATGTGAGAGACTGGTCTCTGTAACAGGAGACCTGAGTGACATATGAAGCATGGAGCACCTCAGTAAAAATCTTGAAACCTTCGGAATCATAATTCTTAAGCGATATATTATGTGTCTAATTAAAAACTTCATCAGTATCGCTTGCAGAGCTGTTTGGGTGATATTCGGATAAACTGTAATTTTACTGTTTATCGGTAAAATATTGATTATTATGAAAGAAATATTCGTTTAAAAATATTGTTATTGAAGCATAGCTCAATTTTCGATACGCTAGTATGATGTCTGGTAGGAAGTATAACTTAAATTACTTTTGATTATTTACAGAGACGATAATAAAGATATAAGCAATCAGAAATTGACTAAAGACAAATTATTATTATTGGCTTTTTTCTGGTGATATGTCTTGACTGAACAAATTGAAAGCAGACCAAAGTGGATTTAGACTCTAAATCCACTTATGGTCTGCTTAAATTTTAGAGGCGTGGTAGGGGCTATCGACTGCACACATGTTAGAATTAAAAGAATTGGCGGTGAAAGTGGGCAATTCTACATAAACAGGAAAGGATGTGTATCCCTGAAATAACAGTGTGTGTTTGATGCAACATTGCGTATTCTGGATGTCGTGGCACGGTGGAGAAGCAGTACTCACGACCGACTTGCCGATCTTTAGAGAAAGTCAACTCAGACAAAGAATGGACAGTGGAGAGGTCCAAGGACGGCTTCTTGGCGATTCAGACCATGCGTTGACTCCATATTTATGCACACCAATTTAAAACCGAGTTTACCACAAGAGGAGGCATACAATCATTCCCATATTAGAACAAGGAATACAATAGAACGGTGTTTTGGTGTTTGGAAGCAACGATTTAGATATCTTATTACCAGATTATACTTAGTACCAGCACTAGCAATACATATTTTTACGGCTTAGTTATTCGACACATACACATCGATTATTGGTCAAATAGAAACAAATTTTTAAGGCTGTTTATTTACATAGGTGAGGATAGTTAAGGACCTGAAATAAATAATAATTTATATTTCATTTAAAAACAAGGGTTTTATTTTTTATAAGTTTTTAATTGCTGCTCTAATAATTTGAGCCTCAGTAGATGCTCCTGTCTAGCCCATTCGTGAGCTTCGGCAAGTTGCTTGATTTTGAGCTCATGTGTTTCAGCCATCTGCATAAGTTTCGTCTGGAACTCTGCCGTATTGCGGAGTTTGGCACTTTCCACTATTTCAGATGCCTTAAAAATTTAATTATGATTGTTGAGGGTTGACATTAATACCAACCTCGCCTAATTTTTGTATGTACCTACTGCAGAACGCTTCTAGGGGCTCGCACCCTTTTTACTTTATTTTCTGTACTCATTTAATAATTAGAGGTTTCGACAACACAAAAAAAACACAAGATCAATTATTGTCAAACAAAGACGGTGGGTTGCCAGGGTAACAATAAATAAGGATCGTTTAGTTATTCGACACATACACATCGATTATTGGTCGAAGAGGTGTTTATGCCCTGTACAAGCTCTAATCACTGGATAACTATCACCTTGTTATAACGCATGTATAGTGATTTTTTATTAGTAAGGCTGTAAGTAGATAGTAAAAAGTTGTGGTGATGTTGCGTGATAGAGTGTGTTTTCCTCACATATCCGCAAATGAAAATTGTACCTAAAGATGTTGTCTCGGCCTGGTGAACTTGGTGATTTTAAACGAAATATTTTGAACGTTAAATTATAGATACTCTCCAGACTTTTGAAAGTTGGAGAAAGTTATGATTGCATTAACAAGAGAGGATTATCATAATTAATTAATTTAACGTGTACAAGTGCGTCTTGCGATATTATCTACAACAAGTAGGCGGAACAATCATTAATATCGTTGTCTTTCGAATGTTTCTCGGTCAATTTGCCACGTAATTAACTATTGAAAACCATGTTAAATGTTTCTTAAGAATATTGGCTCGAGACGGAAAATTAGCGCCTGCTGGATTTTATAAAAGTATGCGAGAATTTTTGACAGCGGATTATTCAAGGGAATACACGGAACTTATTGCATCTTTCTTTACCGTAAAGTTCATACCTTAAAATTTAAATCATTATTAGAGCAACTTTCATATTTTAATATTAATATACTTAGTGTATTCATAATGAAATTATATAGTTTAAATTTCTCTTCTTTGAATAATGAAATCATTTCACAAATATTCAGTATAACTGTGCCGTAACGCCGTAACGCCATAAAGCTATTTAAATCTGATAAAATATCTGTCTAATAGTAAATAGTCGCAGAGAGCGGAGGAGCGAGCCGGAACGAGATCCTAATTAAATTTTTCAGAGCGTATCATTTGATATTCAGCGCGTATTTCTGCTAGCTTAAGACAAAGCGTAATGATTAAAGTAAATTTTTTATTAGATTAACGGTTATTTAAACATTATTCTACATTTACTCAACGATCCTTTCTTGCATATTAATGCATAGTGGAACCTTTCATTAGGATTTCATCTAATATCTGCAAATTGCTGGGACCTTCTTTTTCAATTTTGAAATTTCTTATTACTCATAACATTAAAATTTCTTTCATGATTTTTTGTGACTGAACGTAACATAATATGTCACATGTAGTCCGACATATTATGTAATTGAAATGATCAATGTTGAAAATTTTATAGAATTGGCATTGACAATTTACAGTGGACAGTGGTTGAGTTGAGTGTTGAAAGTTGAAACTTGAAGTTGATATTTAGTAATATTTGTGAGGGAAAGAGCGTAAAGACTAAAGATTATTTATAGGTTATTCTAAATTAATAATGTTTATTCATTAAAAAAAGAGGTTTAGCCTGAATTGAAATCCAAACCTGAGCAACGACTAAAAATGGCTTTCATACCTTTAAGATTATCGCTTTTGCGGCTTGTGTCGCAAAATGGATCGTTTTCTACATTGCAAAGGACAATCTCTTACAAAAGTGCAATTTCTTTGAATACTCTTTATCCAAATAGTTCTTTAAAGCTCACCACTCCTGCTTTTGTAAGTAAAAAAATCATAAATGGTTATCTCTCTGCTATTCGTACATACTTAATAATTTAAAATTGTTCTTTTAGACACCAAATTCAGACGAAAAGTTCTCAGGTTTCATTCCTCTTAATAAAGTAGATATAAGCTACAGTGCTAGCTCAGGCCCTGGAGGACAGAATGTTAATAAAGTAAGTTGTAATAAATTAATATCTATACAAATATTATTGTCTGTAAGCAAAACACTAATTTTTAAATAACTTAGGTACATACTAAAGTAGACCTCAGATTCAAATTAGATGAAGCCGACTGGATTCCCACAGATATAAGAGAGAAAATGTTGCAAACTGTAAGTTCAATAAATTTCGAATGGAGTAACCATTGTTAAGATGCAATTACTATGCAGTAATCTAAAGTCTTGCGATTTACTCTATGTTTTTAGCATGGAAAGAAACTTACAAAGGAAGGCTATTTAATTGTTCGCTCTGACATAACTCGCTCCCAGCAGCTGAACCTTGCTGATTGTTTACGCAAACTTCGCTCTATGATACGCAATTCAGCAATTACTGAAAGCAAACCTGATCCAGAAACTGAAGAAAGGATTAGACAGAGGTAAAAATAATTTGAAAATCTGAATTAAAGAAAATATATATATTCTTATGATTCTTTGTACTTAAATGTTTTGGAAAATGTAAGAATTATTTTAAAAATAAGTTTAGTTGTGGGCATATTATTAATTGTTTAAACTTGTTTCTGATTATTACATTGTCTCAAATATGCTTATTCCCCTCTATTAAAAATCTTGCTTAATATATTAACCATTATAATACAGTAGAACCTCGTTAAGTCAAACCTCGATAAGTCAAAAACCTCCAAATCTCGAAAAAATGTTTTGTTCCCTTCCCTTAAAACACCAAAACCTCCATTACTTGAAATCTTGACCCTCTGTTAATCGAAATAATCACCGAGTCCCTCCAAGCCATTTTGGTACATATTTTCACTCTATAACTCGAAAAATTAAATTTGACCTCTGTATCTCGAACATAGGAACGTTTGATTTTACAACCTTTACAACTTGATCATTTGGAATTTATTATCTCTATTGTTCGAACATAAATAAGTTACCGACTTTAAGAACTTGCTGCCAATGTGAGTACACTATTGTTTCTTAGAAAACATTTTAGGAGTATACAATAATAAATTTATGACTCATGGAAACATGTGTTTGCTTGCTTTGTGTCAGGTGTTCAATTTTGATTCCCTTGGAAATTTAGCTAAGCCAGTCATTTGTTTTCGACTTAAATACTGTCAGAAGTAGTTTGGTCTCAAACTCTTTATGTCGAATCAAAATCCGCCTAAGTCGAAATCCTCCATAAGTTGAAAACTCTATAACTCGAATTTTTTGGCGTCTCCCTTGATGTTCGACTTATAGAGGTTCTACGTATTTAAAGAATTACATTCATCTTCACTTTCAGACATTTAAAAGCATCACGACTGCGGGTCAGCATCAAGAGAGAGGAAGCTTACAAGCGGGCCATGAGGCGGCCACCTACTGTTGTTGATTTATGATTCTTTTACTAAATTGGGCATATCAGGAGATCACCACTCATAAAAACTACAGGACTATATTGATAGAAGAGTGGAATATTGATCTGATCTTCCTATGCTGAGGACTTCAGTGTGTACTACTAGTCCTCAATAATGTATGCCCAATTTAGTATTCCTCATTATAACTGTTGTGAGTGATTCAGATGACAGTTTCCTAAGAAATTAGACATTAACTTGTAGAATTAAAGATGTAGTACTACAAAAAACATTTCCTTCTTTTGCACAAACATGTATTGTGTGAAATGTGTAATATTATAGTTTTTATGCATGTAATAAAGGATTCTTGTAGTATAAAAGCCATGATTATGGTGAGAAATAAATTCATTACATTATCTCAAAAACAAGGGTTTTATTTAAATATTGTATTTTATATTAATTGTCAGTGATAAACATTATAACCTCCTTCATATGATGACCAGGTATATGTGGTTGTCATGGATACAGTCAGTAAACAGCACCCGATAAAGTTTGTAAGTGTTAGCAACAAATATACATTGTTTAAAAGGGAACTTATTCCATAAGAGCTTTTTAAAAGACATGTCCTATAGAGATTTAAGAAGTGAGTACAAAAAACATTCATTTAATGAAATGATGTCAGTAACTTTCTATGACAATAGTAACATTTATGCATTTCAATAGATTTCAGTGAAGATATGCGTGCACTAGGTTTTCCTGAGCATATATCCTTGGAAAGCTTTCGCACGCCCAATTGGGATTTGTTGGACTCGTGCCTTCGATGGCTGGCAGCCAGATTAGAACCTGATGCTGTGCTGGCTGGCGGTAAGGATTCGGTGGAGCAAAGAGTTGCCATGGTGATGCATGCTGTGGAAATCTTTGTAAGTTGCTATAAAATTTATTTTTTGTTAATAGATGGCTGCGGTTTTCCCATTTGACAGTAAGGTCAACGATGGTAACTCTCACCGATACTTCTGGGTTTACCGCCTATTTATTGCACTATTATATTGACTTGACTAAGAACTTGAAAAAAAGTGGACTACCCAAAGTTAAGCTCGGTAATTTTTTGACAAATATATTCTGACTTATTTTATCTCATAGAATGTCAAATTTTTCGAAAAAGAATCTTAAATTAAATATCATTGTATCGTAAACTTAAATCTATCACAGCATTCCCGTGCAAACTTGAAGCTGAATGGCAAGAAAGTGTACGGAGCGGACGGATGGGCAGTTCGTGAGTTGCTGAAGGTGGCGGCGCTGCTTCGCACGGCCTTGGAGACGCCGCCGCCCGTGGACGGCCCGGATCACGTACCTTTGCTGTATGACGTCACCTCACGGGTAGTTCCTCACTGTCCTAAGTAGTTTGTTATTGTGAATTAGTAGGTAACTAGTGACCCGCCCCGGCTTCGCACGGGTGCAATGCTGATACTAAATTAAAAGTGCTATAGGGAGAACCGCTTTTTTTTAAATGAATCTCGCTGTTGGCCTTTACAAATTACAAATTACAGCTCAGCTCGGGCGGTTTTTTACCCTAATCTGATTTAGATTTTTATTAATATTGGCCGCGTGGGCGACTTTTAATATGTTGTTTGCTACGGTGATTGGATCATCCGGATCCGTTAGTATGTGTCGGGGCCGCCTTCGAGCCTTTTGTGCCGGGAAGGGGTAGTAATTGATGCTTTTACGCACCAAAGGGTTGGGATGATGTTTAGCCTTGTCGAAGTGGCAGAGAGAACCGCGGCCTAAATCATATGCTGTAAAGGGCCAAATAGATCTATATTAAATCAACAATGTATTTAAAGTATTTAATTAGATAAGGATTAATGCTGTATTGGTTAAAATTAGCCATTATTTGTCGTAAAAAGTATATGTTAAAAAAAGTTATTGTGGGATATCCATAAGAGATAGACATCTACCATGGTGGAGTTTTCTGTAAGTAGACCTTTTCAATGTGTACAATATTTTGATAAATCTCGTAGGGTTCAGCCTGCGTTTGCAATGTAAGAGAAAAAAATGTACTTACTTACATTAGAAACCTCAAAAAAACAGTATTTCTCCTCTATTTAATGAATGTTACAATGCATATAAACCTTTCTCTTCAATCACTCTATCTATTTAAAAAAACCGCATCAAAATCTGTTGCGTAGTTTTAAAGATTTAAGCACCATAGGGACATAGGGACAGAGAAAGCGACTTTGTTTTATACTATGTAGTGATGTGTCAGTAGCACCTTTAGGTATCAGATATAAATATGAGGAATCGTTCTGATAAATGTAAAATGAGGCTGCAGATTGAAAGATTTAATTGTAATTATATGAAAAAGACTCATGATTCTTTTCACTTCCATTTCAGATTGGCGAAATAAAGCAAGCTCGCAGTCTGGCCACAGACATCACGGCTCAGGGGGCTTATCTGCACGACTTGTTGGTGAAGGAACCCGAGAATAAGGCGAGTCCCATAATAATAGTTGTTGTAATTTGTATGTTCAGCTTAATTATAAGTAACACTCGTCGTGTAGGAGTCTCGCAGCCGCGCCCTGTCTCGTCCGCTGGACACGAGTGCGACGGAGGCGGCGCTGCGTCGGGCCTCGTCGGCGTTGGCAGAGCGCGTCGCGGTGACTCGCGAGGCGGCGGAGGCGGCGTCGGGGAGCGAGGCCGCTTTAGTCGCGAAGACCGAGCGGCGCCGAGCTGAGTTGCAGCGTGCAGAGAAGCGGCTACGCACGGTGCAGAAGATCAAGTGCGATCAATTATAAAAAAAAATAATAAAAATAAATGATCAATGAAATCGCTTTCAACCAGACGAAATCCCCGCGACTAGTTCCAAATAAAACTATTGACAATACAAGAATTAAGTATTTATTACCAAAATGTTTAACAATTTGTATTATTTTCATTTGTTTTTTGTTACAATACATATTAACATTGGCTTCTGAAAACGAGTGCCCGGGCTTATTGCTTCTGTCAGCTTATTCTTATTGGGTTAAATTGTAAGAGACACCACTTACTTACACCTTCTTACTGTTTAGTATTGGGAAGTAAATTTGTTTTAAATTGTACTTTTATTTCAAGAGTTATTTTTTCAAATAAATATTAAATTAAACTTGAAAAACTGTACACACGCTCAACATTTTATTTATTTATTATGATTATTGCTATTTTGAATTCGTTTTTATATAAACTCAGAATTCGTTATAATATTAGCCACATATTTTAAAAGTATTTTCATCACGTTTCAGGCCGGTGTATCAAACGGAGCTGACGGCTCTGGAGATGGAAATCGAACAGCTTTGGGATCAGTACGTAGTGAGGTACCGGTGCGTGGAGGCGCTTAAGCATCAGCTCAGTTTGTTGGAGACGGCACAGAATGAGGTTATCTTGTGAAAAGTTTCAAAAAATGTCAAACTTAAATGGCTAGTCTTTGTTTAGACAAAAATTTCACGTAAATAAAACAAAGTCGTCAGTTACAATTCTTTTAGTTACAAACGGCTGGATCAATTTTGATGAATTTTGTTTTTAAGAGAAACTCACGTAAAATAACCTCGCATTGAAATATAGAGGCAACGGAAATTACAACAATTTAGAATCTACCCGAAGTCCTAGAAAATAAATACTTGATATATACATTATGAGATTTGCTTTCAATTTATCATTTAAATAATTTAGGACAATGTTTTATGATTATAAAAAAAAATAGAAAAGTTTTATAAGTGAGTGACCGACACTGAAGGCTGTTTAATATATGACATATACAGTGGATAGCGAATTTATTGAGGAAAGCTACAGCCTATATGAGATGGTAGCGCCTTAATGCAAATGCCATGGTAGCAAATTAATGCCAGAATCGGATCAAATGAGGAAAAGTAGAATTTAATTTTCAGTCTGCCGAAGAGCAGCAGGCATCGATCCTGCAGCTGATTCACAAATATGAAGCCGAAGACGTGTTGGGGAAGCTCAGTGACTCTGGTAACTTAGCTATGCATATCATTTTGTTGCGCAACATTTCTCATTTAGCACATTGTCAAGTTGGAGAAATTTTCAGAAGAGATGAACTCCAGCGAAGACGAAAGGGAGACAAACCCGCGAGCTGCCTCTCGTCCTCGGACGAGGCTGCGGATCAAGACTGCAGGTGCTTCAACCGCTTCGCCACTAAGCTTAGGCCTATTCTGAATTCCCCTTTGGTCTGTAAAATTACTAACATTTGTTATTCTACTTTATACTGGAATTGAAATGAACGATGGTATGCATGGGTCGTGGGAGTTTATTGCCAGTCTTCTCGTTCTACGCCCTTGATTTGAGAACTGGAAGTAAATGTAAAATTAGAAGCATTTAATGTATATTTCTTTTTTGACGTTCATAGGTGTACATTGTGTTACCTATATGAATAAGACTTCACTAAAATCAAAAATCATTTGACTTTTGACTTTAGTGAAGTCCATAAAATTATCTAAAGTAGTCGCATGTATTTAATGAGTATTAAACTATTGCAAATACCACCATTCGCTTGGGTTTTTAACCGTCCCCCTCCGATTTTTGTATTGACGAGCTAATTTGAATTCAGGAACCACCAACCCGGAGAATCGCGGGGTGTGGGCGGGACGCGACTCGCTGGACATCCGGGACGAAGACGACTCCGACACCGAATCCGATCCGGACGTCTCCGACACTCAGCTTTTCGGTAAAAACTTCGTTTATTAGGACTTAATCCATTGAAGGGTTTGTAGTATTGGAATACTTTTATGGAGCAGGCGAGAGGCTCAACCGGTGTGAAGTGATACCGGCGCCCGTGGACACTCACTCTCGCCAGGCTCACGAGTGTTTTGACGAGAATTGAAATGTAATTACAGTGTAAACTCTTTATAACGAATTTCAAGAACCGAGCATGTTTTTTCGATATAGGAATGGAAGAGAAAAAAAACAAATTTACCCAATTACAATAATTTTAGTATGAAATAGATAGGTGCCGATGGTGCGTTTAGTAACTGAGACCAAAATTCCCTATAGGCATATTCTTAGATTACATATCTAAGAATAATGGCACACGTGTTACTGCAATTAACAATAACAGAGGCTGTTTATGACCTCAGGTGTCCTTAGAGATTTCGGCACGTCACATTTAAGTATGTTGTTGATGTCTTAATATGAAAATATTTCTACGTTATAGAGAATGTTGCGTTATAAATAGTGAAGTTATGTATGGTTTTTGTGTTAAACCAAACAAATTCAACTCTGTATTTCCATATTTCTGTATTCAAATGCCAATCAAGCAGATCGCACTAAGTAGTCCAAGTACAGGGGCGTCGGGAGGCAGCGGGCGGGCGGCGCGTTGGTCTCGTCGTCCGGGCACGCGCACCATGACCCACGACGGACACTACGCGGACCTCGGCCTAGGTAACGCTCAGTCTCTAGCTCTCAGGGTCGATTTTTCGTCTCGGTCTTTTATGCCCCGCTCTTTGATGGCATTGCAGGGTTGGAGCGCAAGCTGGTGGAAGGAGACTCCCTCGGGAGTTCTTCGGAGAGCGAGCTGCGCCTCTCCAGCCCCAAACTCGGCCGCAACTCGGCCTTAAGCGACAATGAGTTCTGAACGTGATCTTACTTTTAATATAATATAATTTTGTATGTTTTTGTATGAATCACTCTTTTTCCGTTACCAACTTTCGAAGAAGGAAGATAATAGGTGAATTTAAGGCAAAACTCTGTCCTAATTTGTTGTTACCTTTTTTTTTTATTGACACAGTCTGCTATATCATATCTAGGTTTATTATATTTAAAACTAGCTTTTTAACTTAGAAACGGAAGCACGTAGATAAAACTTATTTGGAAGTATTTATATTGTTCGAAATACATTATATGTATTAATTTTATAAAATTGATGAGGGTGAGAAAATATACGCACGGCCGCGACCCCCTTTTGAGTCATTGTTGAGCTTCATTGGGTTAGTTTGTATATTTTGGATAGTAATGACTTTTTGTTAATTATATATATATATTTAAAATTTAATGAGTTTAAAAAGTGAAAAGGTATATATATATTACTTTTGTGTATACTAAAACTAATTCATTTTATGATAATATTGTGTGTATTTCTAAGAAATTAGAGGTATGTATGATTATTATTTAATATATTGTATTAATAAGACTGCCCATAGCTTAGAGTGTACAAGTGAACAAAAATAAATCCAAAAAGAAACTATTTATTCATACTGTTCTTATTTATACACAGGAATCTTATATCACAACCCAAAATTAACACGAATCGAACGAAATTCACGTTGAGAATTATGTGTGTGTTAACACATGTGTAACTAAATGTACAACTTTTGGTTATAAATAAATCCTTGCCTCTAAAAGTTAACTTATGCCAATCGAGCGACTAGGACCGATATTTTAATTTTTACACAATTTGAATATAACATTCGTTTATCAATTATTAACAGTTATTTACAGGATATATTGACTTTTATCGGTAACTAAAAATAAGAGTAAAGAAATAATTATTATACGTTATTTAGGAATACGCTAGAATATAATTTGATCGATGTTAAATCGAAAAGCTAGATTTAACTTGAGCAAAACACTATGTACTACAATGAATAGTAAACAAGTAGTAAACAATAGTAAACAAACAATCTTATCCACTTTCCACTCACTGGTTCACTCAGAAAATATTTACAATATGCACATTTACGTAAAAAACTAGATAAATTCATAAAGCTTAATCAAAACTTAACAGAACACGTTAACACAGATATTTGACGATAGTTTTCTTTTAGTAAAGTGAGGTTAGTAAAGATTAGATTACAATATTTGGAGCATGTTAACGTAACTTATCCAGTAATATTAGTCTGGTGCAGTCAGTGTCGGAGAACTAAACATATTTCAAATTATTTTACTCAAAGCTTTGTAAAACAACAATTCGGTGACAGTTTTATCATTTACACAATATATTCTACAATTAACTAACGAGTATTTGTCTCAAATAATCTCAATTTTCAAAATAAATTCTAACTTAAACAATTTTTCTTCATTTCAAATTGGCTCTTCCCTTTATCTATGAGTTATTTACGATAATTGATCTTTTAACAATAATAAGTGTTCATTGAAGGAAGTGCTGAAGACGGTCATTGTGTGTCTTGGCTATTGTTGGAGTCGCTGGTGGCCGTCGAGGCCAGCGAGTCGTGCTGTTCCGCCGACAGCCGGCTGCTGTCGCACACCGCTATGAACTGTTCCGCGTATGCTCTGTAATTGATGAAAACTTATTTAGTATAAAGGATAATCTGATCGATTAAAGCTACAAATGAAAATAGCCACAGAGGCTGTTTAATTTCTATTTAAACCCTATTTATATATATTTTGAATTGATACTCAGAGGTGTTAAAACTAAGAAACAAAAATCAATCGACTTTTAGTTATTTATAAATAAATTGTAGAGATATCTGTTCAAATGCAAGTTCTCTCCATACATTAACTAGCCCTGTAAAGTCCGTACCTGTCCAGGCCGGTGTACGTCCGCTTGAGGTCGGCGTCGGACAGCCGCTCGCGATCCGCACGCCTTTTGCGGTGGATCCGCTCGAGCGAGCGAGTGAGCGAATCGCGCTCGCGAGCCACTCGCCGCCGCCGCTCGTGGCGAGCCTCACGGGGAGACCGACGACGGCGGATGCGCTGTATTTTTAAACATTTAGAATATGTATACTAATACAACTCGCTAATTGGGGAGTGTCATTGTTAATCTCCAAAGATGTTATTGACCTGAATGTAAACCGAAAACAACTTTAACAAGCCAAACTTACCGTGTCGTGTATGGGGTAGTACAACTGGGCGGGCGGCGGGTAGTGCGCCGGTGGCAGGGGCAGCGTGGCGTAGGGCCGGGGAGGTACTACCACGCCCACGGGCATTCGACCAAGCTGAAACGTTTTATGATTAAGTGTTTAACTTAAACTCATAAGTAAATATTAAAGTTGTACACGAATAATTTTCGCGATTTTTTGTTATCATTCCATAACAGGGCTTCAATAAAGACTTAAAATAGCAGACTGACAACAATAAAACTCGTCATGTCGAAGGCGAGCCTCAGTGGGCAAGTCACGCTCGCGATGTTTGTAACAACACTTCCGCAATATTAGACGTACCTATACTTGTACAAGTAATACACCACTCACATTCCACTCAATAACATTTCGCATAATTATGTTAGATTATATAATATGTATTTGCAAAAACAGACGATATTACTAATAGTATAAGCAATAGAAAATATATTGGCCAACACTGCTCTATTAGTGTACCTATACACACCAACGGCCTAGTGGTGTTATCGTCTGACTCTTTAACTCTGATTTCGCGCGTTTAAATGCTGTCTAAGCTCCAATAGACTTTTAACCTAAATTTTAAATGTAGGCATCGTTAGGAAATGGTCTCTCAAATGTCCCTCAAAAATGGACAAAATGTGCTAGGCAAAGGTCTGCGAACAGAAAAGATCAAAAAAATTAAAATTGCATATTGAAGCGCCACCACATTACTATTTTATTGTTGTATGGACTAGTTACTCAGTTCATGTTTAGAATGTAAAGAGGGCGTGGTAGCGAATTAATAACCAAAATATATGCAGATATTTATAGAGTCATCTACAGGCGATATCTTAGGACAATGACAAGTTGGAGGAATGCGGTCAACCTCAGTTTATATACACTATACTATTATTTTTACTTTAGCAAATATTAATAATAGTATGTATGTTAATTTTGTTAGTGGATTTTATCGTTTCCGTGTTTTAGTAACCACCATTGTTAACGGTAACTATAATGATAGTCTTCAATGAGCGCTTATAATAACGCGATTAATAAATAATACGCGATGGATCTCGAATGACAGAACTTTTCACAGATGTATTATTCTGAATTTAATGCTGGTTTTTTAAATATGTTTTCTGTAATATATTTTTCTCATATAAAGTGTTATACATACCCTTGAGTATCGTACAATGATAGATATGTCGCTCTTATCTGACATTTATAACGGCAAATTAAATTCAACTAAAATGGTGAACCGATTTGTCTGTTTAAACAAACCAAAATTACTCATGTGTTCCTAAATCGTTATAATAAAATCTGTGTGGTAATGAGATTACTATATCAGCCATACCTGATACGAAGCGATGTTTGAAAGACTGTATCTGTATCTACGGGGACTAAAAATTAAAATAAGTTACAACTAAATGAAAGGTGTAAAAATGTATTGAGAGCTGTAAATATTGGATGATAAATAAATATCGTCTTCTAAAAGCTTGTAGATAAAGCTATTTAGAGCTGGTGATTACATAAGACTGTATGAATGGCGCGCACCTCACTCTGAGTCCTTGTCCCGCTTCGGCACTTGTCGCTGCCTCTTGTACGAAAACCTGTTGCGAATTCCTACTGAATTATAAGTAAAATAAACAGAAATGTAAACTTTTAGAATTTTTTAAATAGTAAAACTCAACAGGCCAATAGGTTTAATAATGAAAACGTTTACAATAAGTTAGAGTTGGTTTTCAGTAATATTGAAAACTTTCACAAATATCTGTCAACTTTACCGAGTTGATTAGCAATTGTTTGCCAAATGTGCTTGTGATGTCACTGATGCACCGCGCATCGGTATCTGATGGACGTGCCAGGTGTTGGGAAAGTGGAGAGAAGTCGCCGGAATACATTAGCGGCTCTGTGATTGCGAGACGCAGCTTTCTTGCAAAGTGTCACCTTGTCAGAACGGGTCGAGCGTATTCAAATAAATCTTGATTCATAAAACTAAACTAGCGTTTATTATGTAGGGTTATGTAGATATTTATAAAAAATACTCAAAACACTTTAAATGGGCCATTCTTAATGAAAGTGCGCGATCGAGTTCACTTGAGGTAAACGCAATAATATGCTAATATGTGGCCCACTTGGCAGATAGCTTGATTGGTAGAAGGCCGCTACTTCGACGCCCCGACGTGACTAGTGTTTTATTTATTTACAATTACAGGAGTAGAAAACAACATAGATTACATTCATACATATTTGCAGTTTTGTGATTATTGTCTCTTCGTATAGTGTTGTAAGGCATAGTAGGTAAGTAAGTGCCATGCCTTAGGACATGGCACTTACGTACCTACTATGCCTTTCCTTACGATCTCATTTATCAGTACTCCAGAAACCAAACCCAGGACCTCCGTTTGAATAAAATAAAACAAATCGAGTGCTGGGCCACGCAGGGATGTTTTTATTTCGTAAACATTGGTTTAGCGGTATACCTACTTGTAAGCGTGAAAGCGTAACTTACTGAATTGCGTAAAATGATATTATAACGATATGAATGTATGTAATAAACTGATGCCAATTTTCATACGTTGATAAAGCGGTACAAATATATATAGAGAGATATTGGAGCGATTTTGAGATAGTTAGCTCAGAAATCGCTTTGATAGATGAAACTACCCGGACGAGATGTGCTCAAGTCATCTAAAATGCATATTAAATGTGTATAATGACGCAAGAGAGCTACCGTTCACTTTCTTTGACAGCTATTAGATAACATGAACTAAACCTGCCGCAGTTATAACTTTTTTATTTTACATATGAACTTTTTAAATACATATAAAAATATTTTTATTCATATAAATAGTAACTGGTAAAGGATATACCATTTGCTGTTTTGTAAACGTCCAAATCAAGTAATTGCAATCCTATATCAATTCTCAATTAAATATAAATTAAATTTTGCAGCATCAAAAAGATAATAAAATAAAATGTGTCGATACAGCTTAACAGAGGTAACAGGATTAACTTGCAGCACAAAATTACTATGTTACGAACCAGTCTTGTAAAAAAACTGTTGTTGTTTAGAGTACTTTAGAGTACTAGAGTCTGATTGCTTTATACGTAGTTTAGCTACAAACTAACAGAGGGCCCCAGAGGCCACTGCCGACTGAATCTTCCAATTCGACGGCGTAATAAAAAGTAAAATATTATAAAACTCCATTGTATCTTTGGGGACAAAGTTTGTAAATAACCTATGAACTATGACATTGTTTTAAGAATTTCATTTCTTTGATACTAAATATTGAACACTATTCAATAATGCAGTAACTAGATTTTCTCGCCATCGCTATTATTGTTAAAGGTGAAAGTTTATTACTTACTTAATAAAAAATATTATGGACTATTGAAATTTTATCTATTGTTAAATGTAATATGTTGAAACTCAGTTTCTTTTATTATACTTATATTATAATAACAGATTTTTATCAACAACAGTAACATGCGATGAATAGTTCGAAAATGTTTGTTCGCGAAACAGGTGGAATGGCCAGTCAAATCTTGCGCAAGCCAATCTAACAGAATTTGCGAGAACATAATGCAACGGAAACAATAAATGGGCGCAATATGCCGAGCTCTACAGTTTAATAATGAGTGAGCAAAATTTAATTTTAGATATGTATTTACATTTTACAATTGAAGAATATAGAAAATTCTGATTCGTAATAATTTATCTATTTAAAATTCTTTGATTACGAAGTGACCGTTTTTAGTTTCCTGAATACACGAACATATTGCATTTTCCATAATATAGGTATACAAATGACAGTCTATTGGTACAAGACCAATTTCTATTGGTCTATTGGTGAGGCAATGATTACTATAATATATACTTCTGACAATATTTATTATTACTCTTGTCATAAATAACAATTTTAATATTAAATATGCTTGAATGTTACATTAGCTGATAAGTGAACAGGCGTGGCGTTTCAGGCGAATTCCAAAATTGCCCCAAACGTTGGCCAATTATAGTACAAATACGCCGAAAGGTCAAACGTTCTCAAGCCTCAACCGAATATTACATTATTGTAATAACACGGTCCATGTCAAATACGATAATGGCTTATTGCCGCACGCCCCCCACTGCGATTGCCAAAACGCAATTTACCAATATTTGTGATCCTTGAAGCACTGTTGTACACGTTGTCACAGAAAGGGTGCTATCAATAAATGGAAACATCACTAAATCGTATGTCTAAAATGCGCGCTGGCCTTATATCTGCGGTATTAAAGGCATTGGTCTCACTCAATATTGCGTTAACAGTTAACATATTAGCCCGAATATTTGGTGACATGTGAATGTGAAACGAAGTGGGTAATTTAGAATTAATTATTGTGATATCACTCTAATTGCATGTGGTCAAGTACACAGAATCGTAGTTCAAGGAGAGTTCGTTGATTGTAAAGACTTCAATGGGATTATGTAATAATAACTAGATACAATATTTATCTCAATGAAGGCTTTACTAAGCTCAGTAGATTCTCTGTGGGAAAAAAATCTTTATCACTAGCAGTATCTACATATTTTACAGCTACGAGAAGTTGTGACAAAAATGTATTTTAAATTCGTACCAGTTTTCGAGTAGCTCATCGGGCGTTCATGATATTAGTGCAAAAGCAGTTTTAAGTTTTCATCTCTCAAGCTGTACTCTTAAACCTGGCATAGAAATAGTTATAGGATTAATAATTATTGTTATATTTAATTGTACGATTGTAAGAGCGTCGTAAAGGTGTCTCGTTTGGTCTAGAATGTAGGCTGCATAGGTGAAAGGGACGGGTGGCCCTTGAAGACTACTAGCAGCTTACAAAGTTAAACTTACTCAATACAAACTGTTTTTATATTATAGGATTAAAAGTAGACTTTTATTCGTTTTTAAGCGAAGTAAGTCGATATTCATATTTAATATTTAGCATAGAGATTGGGACTTGCGATAAACGCATAAAGATACATACAAAAACAAACAAGATTGCATTTTTTTGAGAAATCTGTTTAATTATCAAAAATAATCGTCATTTTTGCACGCCGTACTAAGGTCGTGAGTATGAACGGACGCAAGTACACACAA